TTCTATGTGACTGTTATTTACACTCTTTTCCATCAGCACTGCTTATTAAAGGCCCCCAGACACTTTGTTAACGCATCTGGTTGCACAATTTTTATCACAATACTTGCATGAAGTAGGTGTTTAATAAGTATTTGTTATAGCCAACTGCTCAGTTTTCTTTCATGTGTTTCATAGACCAGCAGCCCCAAAAGATGCTGCTTCCAAAAGGAATTTCACGGTCAAACTCTGTTCAGAAACACTGTATACAGTGCTATTTCCTTTGTGGAGTTCTACTGTTTTATTTGTTTAACTCTGCATTTCCCCAAATTACTTGACTATAGAACAACTCCTTCTACCCATTTCTCCAGGGCCATTTTAAGAGACTGGAGTTTCTAAGAACATATTTTAGAAAAAATACTATGGAAGAAAATGTCTTATTGGAAAGTGCTCAAACCTGGAAGTTAATGTCTTGTTTCTAATCACATAATTCCTTCCTTCCTTCTTTTCCTCCCTCCATGCCTCCTTTCCTCTCTCTCTTTCTTTCTTTCTTCTCTCCAGAAAGTTTTAAGTCATTTAACCCCAGGTTCCTTATTTGTAATGTCATAAGCATAACTTTCCAACTCTAAAATTGTATGCATTAAAGGACTTTTCCTCTTTTATTCAACCAGTCATTTCACAAATATTAATTCCTCCCACATTGCCACTGTTTCTCCAGAGCTTCCAGTTTGAGAATGATTTTCTAGAGCTCATCATCAGAATATTGTTATTTGATTCTTAGAACCAAATTTCTTCTTTTTGAAAATTGGGAATTTACTATCTCATTCTTTATGTGTATCAAGTTATTGAAAGAATCTTAAGGATATAAACTTATATTTCTATTTAGCCTTATGATTCTCTTTTACCAGAGTTTCATTGTAAAAATAAATAATTTAACATGATCACTTAGGTGCATCTAGTTTTTGGTTTGTTTGTTTGTTTGTTTGTTTTGGGTACTGGGGATTGAACTCAGGGACACTCAACCACTGAGCCACATCCCATCCCTATTTTGTGTTTTATTTAGAGACAGGATCTCACTGAGTTTCCTAGTGCCTCACTTTTTCTCAGGCTGGCTTTGAACTCAAGATCCTCCTGCCTCAGCCTCCCGAGCCACTGGGATTACAGGCATGTGCCACTGTGCCTGGCAAGGTGCATTGTTTTAAAGTGTCCATCCTTAACTTTTAAGTTCAATCCTTTATAGTATAAAAAGCAAATTCTAATGATATGAATTCTCTGAGCACTACTGCATGCAGGCACTGTTCCAAGCATTCTGCATGCATTCCCTCATTTAATCCTTACAATAATCACAAAAGCCAAGTGTTAACACCTATTCCCACTGGAAGTTAAATAACTTGCCCAGTAACCTTCACATAGCTGATGAAGCTGGGCTCTGATGCAGGCAGTATGGCTCCTATGTCTGTGCTCTGAACTCCAATAGTAAGCTCCCACTATTCTTAATAGTCAGATTGTCCAGTAGATTTTCTTCTGGGAATTTACCGGTTAACTTGTCTGAAGAGCTGAATGATCATATGGGATTTTTAAATGTCTAACTCCAGCCAGGTAATGCACTAAGGAGATAGCGAAAAATTAAAAGCTTGATTAAAATTAAAATCTTCATGGTTTAGGATATATGCATATGCCAAGGAACTGCACTTTAGATAATAAGTTAGCATAACAATTGTTGGTACTGTTTTAAACCCTGCAGCTCCATATGATATGGTTTCTGAAAGTATTTCAAAGATAAGATTTACTCTCAAGTCTGAAATATGTTCTTTAAAGATTTCTCACATCACACAATATTTATGTAATTGTATCAATTTTATGGCGGGAAACTATAATATTAGGAGTAGAAGAGCATTTTAATCATAACTATTGTATTTTTAGGAAAGAAACAAGAACCACACCATGTCAGTGAGAATTCTTGGCATTTAATTTTAGAAGCCATGTTGCATGGAAATGAATAAAATATAAACACAGTACTTTATCTTGGATATGACAAGAAACTCCAAGACTGTAATGTGCATTAAGATAACATTCCAAACCTATCCTTTCAAGTTTTCAGCCAAGAATTTGTTTTTATAATTTCTTTGCAGTTGGCAAACAGCTAACCTCTACTTGAGATATCAATTTTCACGCTGATGGTCCCGATCCCATGGTGTAACTATTAACTTGCTGTGTGACCTGGACTAAATCATTCCCCTCCACTCCAGCCCAAATGAAGGGGTTGGATCTCTCCAGCTCCTTCCAGTTTTAACATTCTGTGATTTTAACTTGTGGATCATGTCAGACACCATAAAGAATACTTGCTAAAGAAATTGTATTTTTAAAATATGGGCCCCTTGCATGTTTCATAAGTGATCAGTCTATGACTGGCTATGAAGAGCATATAAGCTGTGGTAGCCAGGGCCTGTGGACACCTTGCTTGTTTTGGGTGTTGGTTAGCAGCTGCTGTGCTAGTTTCAAGTCACCAAGTACCTTTTGGGAGTATCCAGAAACAGCAGTCTACCCACATACTTCCTGGACTCTTGGCCACAAGAGGGGTCTGAGAGATTTTGAACAAAAATAGCAGTGATCGCCACCCCCATGGTCCACAAGATGACTTGAAGCACCTTTCCACTAAGCAGGGAGGTGGGTCCCATCCCAGCAATGCCTTGCCCAGATTCCCCCTGGAGACCAAAGTGCTTATTCCCCTAGCAGGGAGTGAGGCTACTGCCATACTCAGCTGAGACCCTCTCTGGAGCTCACCCTTGGTTGAAGGGGGCTGCTTTGCCTAAAGCCACATACTCTCATGGGCAGCATACATGCAAGACCTAGAGACTTGATGGAAGAGATGGCTAATGCCCAGAACTTTGCCCCTGTGGAATCAAGTCTGCAGTGAGGGACAAGTGCCAGAGGCCCTGAGGGGTAAAGGGAGCTTTGTCACAGCCACAACTATTGCATCCCATGTTGGCTTCTCCCCAGTCTACACATGTTACCCTTGGGCTCTCCCCAGTTAAATTCCTGCACACAGAGCTAGCTCTGTTTTGGAGTCTGCTCTCTGGGGATTCAGACCTGCTGCAGGGACATACTGACCTGAATTCCGAATTGGGCTCTACTTCTTTCTACCTGTGGCATGTGGAGTCAGTTTCCTCTTCAGTAGAGTAGGAATAACAATCACTGCCTTGGAAGATTGTTTTATATATATATGAATTTATATATATTTTTATATATATATATATGAATCCAAAGTACATAGTACATGATTAGTAACAGTGATTTAAGATATTTGAAACACACAACGTGCCAGGTTCTGTTTTATGTACTTCTTCACACAAGAACTCTAATAAGAGAACAATATATCTTTACTTTACAGATGAGAAAACCGAGACACAGAGAAGTTAAGAAACTTTTTCAAAGTCATGGAACTAATAAGACATAGTCAAGAAAGCAAATCCAGGCAGCCAGACTGCAGAACTAGCATTGTTAGCTAAAACTCTACTGCCTCCCATTGATGAAATAAATTTTTTGAAAATAAATTTTGAACATTGATAAACAAAAAACCAATAATATCATCTGATTTCTGGAGCAGCTTTGAAATAAGGCAGTTGTAAAAATGTGTTTTACAAAGAATGTCTATATTCCTACGGCTTCTATTTTGGTACAGCCACAGGTTCTGCTTATTTTTGCTTTGGATCAATCCTTTTTCACCAAGAGACGGAAAGAGTGGAAGGTTATTTGGAGCTCTAATCTAATGTGATAGTGACCGGTCAGTGCATTAGATCATTTGTATTTGTTGTTTCGTTCTATGTTAATGAAACTCAGACTGGGTTTCTTTCTTCATGAAACATATTGAGTGTGAGGTCAATAAATAAAACAATGACACTTTTCACTGATTATATAGTAATTTTGTCTTCTAGCAGATTCTACATTATATCATACCTCCTCCAGTTTTATACTTCTCCCTCCCTTGGGTCATTGGGAAGTTCATGATAATGGGACTGGGGGGTGACTAAGGACCCTGCTGTGCCCCCTCCTACTGGAAAGGGTTTGTTCTTGTGTTTCTTTGTTGTCTATTAGCATCAGAAAGAACACTTGTGTTTCTGGTTCTATTTCCAATGTAATTGAGTTTACACCACAATTTTTCTCTTAGGGGAACAATGCTTGTTTGAATCCCTATTATACTTTTAAAGCCAGAGAGGTCTCTTCCTCTTTAAGGCACAAGTCTGTTAAAGTTTTTATGACTTGCAAATAAAGTGGTTTTTCATCTTCTGCTATTAGACAGCTGAAGTATAAGAGAGAACCTTCTACACCGAATAAATTAAGCATCTAAGTAATTTACAGTCCCAGGTACGTTTGCCAGACTAGCATAACTGAATAAAGTCAACAGATTAAACGGTCCCTTGGCAGTCAGCGGGGCATGAGATACAGCACCTGTGCTGCCCCCTTGGGTCTCCTCACTAAATCACAGGCAGGAGCTCAGAAGCCCAAGGGCCCTAGGGACAGGCAGGAGCACATCTGAGACAATGGAGCTTTCCTACCCTTCTAGGTATCATGGTAGTCACTGCCCTGGATGGAGGGAGCAGAAAACTCTCAGAACAATGGCAAGATGAGGGTGGGGGGAACAGGGTTTTTGGGGATGGTATGAGACAAAGACAGGTGGGGAAACCTTCCTCCAATAAAGAAAGATGTTATTTATCTGTCGCTAAGTCGAGAATTCATCAATATAATGGTGTATATTTTCCCCATCTCAGGGCAAAAGAGAGGGAAGATTTTGTATACGGAGCCATTATTTATCCTTGCCAAAGTCAGAACAAAAACTAACTAGAAAAAAACAGCAAATATTTCCCTCTTCCCAATTTCTAGCTTCTGACCCACACCTGCTTTTATTTTTGCCTTTAATCATGACTGTTATTTATTTCACTTACACATAAACATACATTTTATATATATATATATATATATATATATATATATATATATATAACACTTAAACATATATAGCCTAACACATTGATATATAAATGTTTATATTAAACATTTTATTGGTGCATATTAATTATACAGGATAGTGGGTTTTATTGTGGCATATTCATATATGCATGTAACAATTTAATTAATTTCAGTCCCCTGTCCTGTATCTCTCCTCCCTGCCCTGATCCTCTTCTTTTGCCCTAACAGTCTTCTTTCTATTTTTGTGAGAACTCTTTCTTTTCCCTTTTTTCTCTCTAGCTTCCACATATGAGAGCAAACATATGACACTTGTCTTTGAGTCTGACACACCTGGCTCACCACGACCAGCACCTGCTTTTGCCTGGAGAAGGAAAGTGCGGTGGATAGAGCTGATAATAACAGCAGAAGAGCATCCTTGACAGGTTCCAGAGGCTTCTGGGTAATACGTAGTCCACTTCTCGGGCAGGCTTCAGGGGCCAGAAACCAGTCATCTGCTCTTTAACAAATGGAATTTTAAAATAAGAATGTGGCTTTAAATTTGCCCATATAATAATGGGAGGGTTCAGATGATCAGGGAAACTGGGGTACAGTGATGGCAGATATATATATTAATCAGTGGAAAATCCATTTTGGGACCATTTCTTTGCACCAATTAGACACACAAGGCCCTCTCTCCACTCCCTCAAGGTCTCATAGGAATCTCAGTGATAGAGGGAAAATGTGAAAGATAAAACTAGGCTTGTACCTAATAACCACTGTGGGTCCAGCTTCTCAGAACGTTGACCAGGAGGAGAGAGAGAGAGAGAAAAATAAAACAAACAAACAAAAACCCTCACACCCAGTGTATTAGATACTGACACCTCCAATAATTACTACACTCTGGTCCCGATTGTCCTTTGGGGCAAGAGGAGAGGCTATGGGTGTGATGAACATGACTTACAGTGTCTGATTCATAAAGCATCTGAACTTAAGATCCAATCTCTGAGTTGAGTTCGTTGCTGAATTCTTACTGGGTACACAACGTTTTCATGTTCACTTTGAAAGAAAGGGGGAGAGAGGCTTCCCATGGCTGGTTTATGAATGTGGCCTTGAAAATGTCAACAGACTCATTGTTGTCTTGTTGAGTCTGCAGCCAGGAAGGCAGAAATCAACGGCAGCAAGGCAGGTGTGACTGTCCCCCTACTTCAGAGGCCGTACACTTTGAAGCTAGAAAATCAAGGACGCTGGTACCTTCAAGGAAACAAGGATATAATTATCACAACACCCAATTTGCCAGTGACCTTCCATTCCTCAGGCCCGCCCTACTCCCTTCTCTGGCACCAACCCAGGTCCTCACAGACAGGGCTCTGCGTCCCAGACGTCCCAGAAGGCTCAGATGGAAGACCGACCCCTCAAGCACCCTTTGAAAACCTTCTTAATCTCTTTCTATGAGCTGCTCTTGCTGACATAAATCCACCTGCCCGAGGGGCCTCAGGCCTCTCCACCGAGGGAGGCCCACTCAGGCCACGTGAAGTCTGAGCAGCTCTGGTGTAGAATTTATGCGCCCTCTCACCTGCGCAGTCTGTCTGTGACCTCAGCTCCAGTCTGTTTGTGAAGGGTCGAGCAGAACCTCCCAGCCCCTTGCCAAGTCAGCCATCATCACCCCCGTCCTGGAAGCCGACTTCTCAAGGCCATGGGAAGCACAGAGCGGTGACTCTGAACTTCATTATTCTATTTGAAACGTTGAAAGCTGGAGCCTAATAAAATGAGTTCAGAAAAACAAAAAGAGCTATAAATTATCATTTGAAAAGAGTGGCTAAAGAATTCATCTACTTAAAATGCCTGGGGGCTATGTCTCAGTTAACAGCAATAATCTTGTATTTGATTTCCTTTCCTTCATAGGGGAAAAAAGGAAAGCCTGGGTTGTGTTCGCTTAGCACAAATTCTTTTCTGCTTCTGTGAGTCAATGTTACACAACACCTCCTACCTTACTCCTTTACACACACACAATGCACATACACACACACCAACTGTGGCTGTAAAGGGATCCACTGGTTGTAAGAATTCTTTTAAAACACAAGGAGGAATTTATTCTACATCATCACTAATCAATACTCATTAACATTTTATTTCTTTTAAAATAGGAGGAAAATTCTATTTCTAGAACCTCATAAAGACTGTCTATGCTAAATTGATGTATTTAATTTAAAAACACCACACATATCATTCCCTGTTAAATTAGGAACAAATGAGGAATGACTGTTATATTATTTTATAATGTTTTGAAAATTCTAGAGCATTGAGTCTCAGTGGGTGGAAACTTTGCTTCCCAGGGGACACTTGGCAAAGTCTGGAGTCATTTTTTGGTTGTTCCAATCTTGGGGATGAGGGTGCTTTGATGGAGTGAGTAGAGGCCAGGGAAGACCCCACAATGAAGAATTATCCAGTCCAAAATGTCAATAGTGCTGAACTTGAAAAAACCCTGTTCTATACAATGCAACAAAACACAAACATAAATGAGAGAACTGATATTTAGAAAATAACTAATTTTCATTGTCATTAATTGCAAATGACTTGCATCACCCAGAAAAACAAAACAAAACCTTTAAATCAACATTATTAAAAATTCATAAAATAGGTCTCATGCCTGTAATCTCAGAGACTTGGGGGCTGAGGCAGGAGGATCACAAGTTCAAAGTCAGTCTCAGCAATTTAGTGAGGCCCCAAGGAACTCAGTGAGATCCTGTCTCTAAATAAAAATTTTTAAAAGGCTGTAGCTGTAGCTCAGTGGTTAAGTGTCCTTGGGTTTAATCCCTGGTACGAAAAGAATCATAAAATAGTAAGTAAGAGTAGTTGGATAAAATATGTACCAGTAAAGATATATAGGACATTATGCTTGAAACAGTATATTTGAAAGTTATTTTGAAAAATTCTTTTCTTTGTACAGTCAATTATGGGGGGTGAGTACCAGGAATTGAACTCAGGGTCACTCAACCACTGAGCCACATCCCCAGCCCTATTTTATTACTCTTACCTAGAGTCAGGGTCTCACTGAGTTGCTTAGTACCTCGCTTTTGCTGAGGCTGGTTTTGATCCTCCTGCCTCAGCCTCCTGAGCCACTGGGATTATAGGTGTACTCCACTGTGCCAGGTCTAGTTGTATCAATTTGACATATGGTTAGGTTCATTTGTTTTTGTTTTGCTTGTGACAGAGTCTTTGAATTTTCCAATGGGTTTGTCTATTGTGTAAAAAAAAAATCTGAGAACAAAAGAAAACTTAGAAGGTTATAAGATTACAGTTCTGGGCTTATATATTTAGTTATATAAAGGTTTTAATGTATATCAAAACTATGGAAGCAATTTTAAAATTTTAATGACCTGGACAATAACACTGTCATATAAAACATTATAGAGTACCCAAACAGACATGCTTCCAGACCAGAAGCCGGATTTGAGGACTTTTCATGAAAAGATTATTTAAAGCATCAAAAATATAATCTGAGGACAGTGAATGTATGTGTACGTGTGTGTGCGCGTGCGCACATGTGCATATAAATGCCCCATGCAGGTCATCATCTCTCCTGTGTTTCTTTAATGGGGATAATTTTCTAATGCATCACTGGAAATCAACAGATAGTCTACAGCAATCGATCATTATGGTCCAGTAGAAGTAGACGACTGGACCATAATGACCATAATGGTGGGGGAGCTAATTTATTCATCTTTCTAACTCCGTGTTTAACATATATCTGGAATCCAATAAATGTCTAAGGATTGATGAAGTAAGAACACATCCATAGTGAGAGATGACCTTTCAACTGACTAATCAGAAGTCAACTTACCACCTTAGCAATGGTCTTTCAGCATCTAAGAACCCACTTCTGGAAGGCTGAATGAATAGCTTGTCGACAGCAGATCACAGGGACTCCAGCCTCCACAATCATGTGAGTCAGTTTCAATAATCAATCTATCTTAGCCCTTTCGTCCTGCTTCTCTGGAGAATTCTGGCTAATTTGAAACAGTGGGCAATTTTTGAAGGGGTGGCCAGCCAGGGAAGGGAAGCGTCCCTGAAAAGGTAGCAAGTGAGTAAGATATGAAGGAGAACTGCAGCATGAAAAAAGCATGGGGGACCCTGTGCATCTGTGCATTTGGAAAAATGTCATAAGAAGTCAGATCAGATGTTCATCCCAACATGACATGATTCCATTTCTGGGCATGACTTCTGTGGCTTAAGCTTTGTGGAAAAATGGGCTTTGAAACCAAGGGTCTTAAAATTTCTTTTTAAGTCAAGTCAATCACTTTTCAACATAATCCACTTGAATCTAATGTATGAAATATGATATGTCAAAAGTTTTGTAATGTTTTGAACAACCAATAAAAATAAAGAAAGAAAGAAAGAAAGAAAGAATTCACGCAACTACTTTCACGAATTTTTAAACCCCATTGGAAACATAATATTATGCCAGGCGTATGCCAGGATTCGTCAGTACTGGAATACAGGCGCTAATGTTACCGTCCATGATAAGAACCTGGGGTTTACACAATCAGCTTTGATGCATTCTGCTCAGTAATAGAATTGGTCATTTTTATTAGAGATTTAATTTCTTCGTGGGATGTGATGAAACTGCGCCTACCGCATTGTGAATTTTTTTTTTAATCTTTTAGTGTTTACTTCCTATAGCGAATTTGAATAATGAGAAAAAACCCGAATTGACAAATAAAAGGTGTGAAGGAGAACCACCCAGGTGTGCATTTGTGTAGAGGGAGGGGCACTACAGAGGCCCAGAGGCAGGTGTGTGCCTGCTAAGGTGTGGGAGGAAGAGCTGAGTGAAGAGTGCAGTGTGGCAGAAGTGGGGTGAACGGGAAAGGAGTGAAGAACAGCAGGCAGGGAAGGGTGTGGCGAGCCAGCCATGGGCTGATCTAGGAGCATTTGAGCACGTGAGGGGACTGGACTGACGTTGCTGCTCTGACTGGGCTGGGCCCCGAATGTGTCCTTTCTGCTCACTCTGCTTTGATCCCACACAGCACCTGAGATGGGCGTGGCTTTCCAAGATGTCAGTCAATCTGCTGACTGGGAGACATCACCAAGCAACCCCCTGAAACCCAATCCCTTGCCTTATTTGGGTTGAACTTTCTCGAATGTCTTCCCCTCAACAAATAGGATGGTCCAAGGTGCGCTCTCTCTCTCTCTCTCTCTCTCTCTCTCTCTCTCTCGCCTCCTTTGTGGGAGCTGGGGCAGAATTGTCATCACTGAACCCCCGAAAAAAGGTACTTTCTGTGTGATTATTTAGCTCCAGTTCAATTCACCTGGAGTGACCCTGACTGATTGAGTTGCGTGTTGTGGCAGAATGGGGTCCGGGCAGCTATGTCTCGAAAGCTCTGGTAAGGATCCTTCTTAGGGAGGTGGGAAGCAACTGGAAGTTTCTGCCATGGTCTGACTGCACACCTGAGAGGCCCCTCTGCCTGCTGTGTGGAGAAGAGACTGAAGGGTCAGTAATGCAGCAAGGAAGGTGACCAGGATACTGTAATAGTCAGGTGAGAGGTGCAGGCTAAAGTCAAGGGGATAGCCAGGAAAGTGGTTTGCGAAGGTTCTAGAGAGGCGAGGGTTTAGCTCAGTGGGTGAGCATGCACTTAGCATATGCTTTTCCTGGGTTTGATCAGACAAACAAAAAAAGATCATATGGACTTGGATGTATTTGAATTTTTAGTTGATAGAATTTTCCAGCATATTGGACAGGGGTATAAGGAAGAAAGAAAAAAAAATGAACCAGGAGCCAAGAAAAGCACCGAAGAATTTGGCTCCAGTAAGAGCACAACAGAAGATGTCACCAGCAGAGATAGAGGGATTGAGATGCCTGTTGGGCATCCAGGAGGGTGGAAGGACCCTGGTTGCAGGTCTCAGTAAGTCTCACAGCCCATGATCTAGCCAATATCTTCACAACTTGGAATATGGGGATTCATACCTATTCATAGAGGTGTAAATGTCAGGTTTCCAGAAGAAACAAAAATTTAAAAAAATTAGAAATCTCAAAATCACATTTGACTTATGACTTTTAAACTCCTGATACCCCCAAGTGTTTCTGATTATCTGACCCTTTTCCTATCCTACCTGCTCCCCTTCCCCAGTCCAAGTAACGTCTACAGAAACCCACACTGGCTCTGGTGTGATAACAGTAAGGCCATCACCCCCATGGGACCGAATGGCCCTTTTCACAGTAGACTTCACAGCAACAGTGGTTCCCTGTTGGCTGAGAGACATTTTCTGAGGTCCACCATGAACTCAGGTGCTCCTTCTACTTTTGGGTTTGTTGGGCTAATGGCTGTCATTGGAACTCTTGGACACTACAGAGTTCCTCTAGGTTGGCAAAGAATGAAGATTGGGAGTCAGCCCAATTATTCACATGACCTAGCAAAGTGTCAAGAGATTCATGAGTGTCCTTATCACTTGTGTTTTCTTAACTTGGTTATGAGTCAGGGCCACTGTTAGTTTTTTAGACAGCATATGAAAGGCGAGAAACAATTGATCATTGCAGGAATAAAAGACTGAACTATACCCCAAAGCAGATGTCTTTTCGCGTTAATGTAGGAAGTTTTATGGACCCAAATCCTCACTATTCATTCCCTGGAAAGGTGGATAAGAACTTTGGGTTTGATGATATTTATTGATCACCTGTATAGCAGAGGTTAAGGGCTCTGGCTTATGTTAATTTCATTTAATCCTCAC